AGCTGTCGATGCAGTTTCCTTTCAGTGTTGATTTGTGGCTCCCTCCTGCAGTCACCGTCGCTGAAAATGCACTGCCACACACACACACACACACACACACACACACACACACACACACACACACACACACACACACACACACTTATAGACAACCAGAACAACAGGATATTAGTTGTGCTGTTGTGTGCCAGTCTAGTTGGGCAGTGTCCGTGTAAACACTCCTCTTTCTCTTGGACCATGTTTGCATTGCCAGCTGCTGAAGTGACAGATACACCAGAGTGTGTGTGTTGAAGCATCACTCTGCTATTGTTACTGATGTCAACCGTATGAACCGTATGAGACTTTCAGAGGTTAATTAATCAGATGATGAAGTCAAGTGAAAGCAGAGTGGAGATGGATCTCGTAGCTCATCATTGAGGAGGAGCTCATGAATTTAAATGAATGGTTGACATTCTTTGAAAGTTACGGAGGTCAACGAGCACTGTGTCACAGTTCAATAATACTGTGTCTAGAACACACCTTCTATAGTACGCACGTTCTGTATACCAACCACAGTTTGCTTTTAGTGTATAATGATGATTGATTGTTTGATTTGATTGTTTCTTACTAATTCAGTATAAAATAATAGCTCTCTTCATTCCAAACGCCTCAATTTGCCTCAGTTTTATAAGATAATAAATTGACTTAATGTTGAATGCACTTAATATTGCTTAAAATGAAGATGACAGTGATTGTTCTGTGTTGCTCCCTTTGAAAAGCTCTGAGTTTGAGTGTAAAATTGAAATTACTGAGACATGACCTCTTCGAAGTAAAAACATTATTGAATTCCAAAAAATAATTAATACTTAATTTCTAGTTTCTTAGTTTCTTCTACGTATTCTGAGCTTTGAAACCACCATTCTCAATTGCGTTTGTTTTCAAGTTTCCAGAAAAACAGCCTCACCTCTATTTTACTGCACTGCATTGTGGGACAATATTAACAGTACAGTCAAACATCAATCTACTTTAATAATTAGTTATGGCACTGCTAGAATCAGTAGTTTTCAGTCTGTTGGCTGGTGATGCTCATTATTGTCACACATCAATTGTTCCCATGTACACACAAATCAGCACTGATATTGTTGATATCTCAACAACCACAAATATAAACTCTCATGTTGATGGTCGATTGGAGACAATGTCAGAAATGTGGCGGTGAGCCCCATCTTCACTCCAAACTTTCCTCCTTCTGTAGCTTTTGCCCACAGTCGCCCTGTATAGAAGAAGACTTAAGGATTATTATAATGAGCCATTTTCCTTAAAAAGCAGCAATATGAAGGATTTCTCCCATCAGACACGCAGGCCTCTCGTGTTTCATGATACACGCCCTGTGTGTGTCAAGCTGTGAGCTCCACTGTCTCCACAGCCGGTGTCTGTAAATCAGGCTCAATTTATGTCACAATTAATACAAACGCCTGGGATCAGTACTCAACAGTGTTTGTGTGTTTCTGCAGCCTAACGTTCTTGGACCGAGCAGTGTTGCGGTTTTACGATGAATTGAGTTTATGACTTGACATGTTAACTCAATTTTCACATTTACAAAAGAACTGCGAGGCTAATGTGTTGTCAGTGTCACATTCCTATAAGATCTGATCACTGGTAACTGTGAGTGTGTGTGGTATATACGTGTCTTGTGTGTATGTGTCTTTTGCGGGTTTATAAATACCTTTAAGTGACTCCAGATGTCCCCAGGCGGCCCGTCGGTGGGTCTCATTCAACAGCAGCTCTTTGACTCTGTTAATGCCGTGTATATAAACCTCCCATTACATTCAAATTAAGAGCGTGGGTAGCGTAGACTCGCACTTGTGTGGGTGGTACATACAGTGCACATGTGTCTAATAGACTGCTGTTTTCTCTCATAATGACTTCCAAACAAATCCAATTAATTTGCCACTTGGGAATAAAATCACAGCCGTTCCACCGAGCCATCTCTCACTCCACCCTCTGTCTCCAAAGAGTCTTCAAAAGAGGAGAAATTCAGCCACATTGTGTTTCATGCCGTTTCGTGCCCACAGACACGCTTCGTGAACACCGGTTTTCCACAGCCATATTGCACATGTTAATCCCAGCACTCCACAGCTGTGACACGCAGACGTGCACTTAGTGGAAAACCAGAGGGAAAAAACTATTTTAGTTCATAGGGATGGAAAAGAGGAGTAACTGCATGGTGTGTGTGTGTGTGTGTGTGTGTGTGTGTGTGTGTGTGTGTGTGTGTGTGGGACTGAGGAGCAGAGGCTGGGGTGAAGTCTGCGTTCGGCAGCCTGAGTGGATGGATGGAGAACATCCGCGTTAGTCGTGACTGCTCAGGCATCTGTAGGAGGATCTGACTAGCACTCGCTGCTCCCTTATATAACACAGTGGAGCACACTGAGCGCTGATTATAAGGCCACAGGTCAACTCNTGTGTGTGTGTGTGTGTGTGTGTGTGTGTGTCTGCAAACTGTCTGTCTGCTCGGGCAGGGATTTGCTTTATCAGCTGACAGTCTGACCTTGTAGGCGTTCAGATAACTTATCATGTCCTAATATGGCTTGGTTAGTCACTCGCCACAAGAAACTGACTGTTCAGGCATTAGTTTGTTCATGCTGCTTATCAGTGACATCATTTTCTCCTCTACCTCTTCAGGTACAGTCAGATCAGATGGGAAGCCCATGGATAAGTCCAGGTTGGCAGTGAAGACTTCAGGTCTTCAGCGCTCCTCCTCTGATGCTGGTAAAGATCATAGGAATGGCACCGGTGGTGGTGAACAGCGCAAACCTCCATCTGGCCTGGTCCGGCCCTCAACAGGTGGAAACTTTGGCTTCAAGAAGCAAACCACTAATGGGACAAACCATGCCAGTGCGTCTGCTGTGATGAGCACAGGTGGCAGTTCAATACCAGGCGGCTCTGCAACTGTGGGGAAGGTTCCCAAAACATCTGGTATTCCGGTCAAACCCGGGGCTGGTGGTGGTGGTGGAGGAGGAGGACGGAAGACAAGTCTGGATGTTTCAAGCAGCGATCATAGTGGTTTTCTGTCCCCAAATGCCAGGACGTCTCTCCAGTACCGCTCTCTGCCTCGTCCTGCCAAGACAAGCACACTGACTCTAACCCGACCGAGCTCTGCACGCCCAGTAAGCACCACCATGGACACAAGCTGTGGACTGATCAAGCCCTCCGCTACAGCACCTCAGGGCTCGAGGCTCAAAGAACCTGCCTCAGGGTTTGGTTCTGGAGCAGGGATGAGTAAAGGAGGGAGCCGTGGGATTCCAAGTCCTAGTCCTGTCAATCAAACAGACAGAGAGAAGGAGAAAGAGCGAGCCAAAGCGAAAGCTGTGGGGTCTGACTCTGAGTGTGGAGGTGGGTCTCTGAAGGGGAGCCCTGCTCAGACCCCCTCAGAGAGCGGAGTGAAGCTACAGGGACTGAGACCTCCCAGTGGTAAGGGCATTGACCTGCCCTCACCCAACACACACAGGTACCAAGGTTATAAACGTCAATATAAACATACACAAGCAGTCATTTCTCAACTAGCACACACACTTTCAAGATAATAAGAATATGCATTTGCTTTAATGTTGTCTGATATTTTTTAGATTATCTGGAGTACGCAGCCTCGCTAAGCCTCCATCTATGGCACCTCTCGACAAGCTCAACTCCAACAGCCTGGATGTGGGCGTTCAGGACTCACTGCCCCCGAAAATCCCCCCCTACTCTAAGCTCCAGGACCTGGCTTGCTCAGCAGGCAGCCCCTGTCTCACTCCCAGCCCTGCCCCGTTACTCAATGTGAACTCGGCCTGCTTCTCGAGCTCTGGGATGGGGCTGGGCCCGAGGCAGGTCTCTTCTCTTGGGGTGGAAGGGGGCAGGGGGAGCACTTCTCCCCTGCTCTACCCCCGTCTGTCTGGGCTGCATCGGAGCATGGAGTCGTTGCCGCTACAGATGAGTTTGGCTCCAGAGCCCCAGGGAAGAGGGAAGAATAGGGAGAGGGAGAGTTTGGTGCGAGGCTACACCACCTTAGAGTCCAGAGACAAAGAGAGACAGGAAGACAGAGGCCCCCCTCCCAGCTGGAGCTCAGGAAGTAAAGTGTCGCTGACTCTCACAGACAAGTGAGTTCAATTCTGCTGAAAGATTATCTTCAATCATACGTGCATAGTTTTTGTCATCTAGGTTTCTTCCCTTCTGTCATGTAGCTCCACCTACTGGTTAGCTGAAGAACTACAACAATGTCATTGATCGTTCAGGGAAGGCCCCGTACACACCTGGTATTAACATGTGGTTTTCCACTTGCGATCAGATTACAAAAAACTTTGAAACTTTTTTTCAATGCTGCAATCAAATGTTTTCATCGTCTTTTTGAGTGGGCAGGTGGAAAGGTGTGTTGTTTTGTATTTTAGGATGGCAGTGGTGATTATGAAGAGTGAAGAACTAAAAGTATTTTCACTTAGATGAGAAAAGAAAAATCCACAAAAATAAAAACAGGAATCATATATTGAGAATATTTTAGAGGCAAGATGTTTGTGCATGTGTGTGTGTGCGTGACTTAATCTAAAAACTGAAGACAGTATGTGCAATATGAGATGTTAATTATTCTCCAAATTATTAAGAAACATAATTACTTAGTAGCACATTTGTCGCATATTTTTTTGGCTTAATGAGAAGACAAAAAAACTTAAACCCCAAATAAAGGCAACGGCCTGGATGCACACACACACACACTTATATTCTGAGGGGTCTCCAGGCTGTTATTACTGCAGGACTATTATCAGTGTTGTGCGGGCCCTGCTCACTGAAGACATAATTACTGGCTGACACAGCTGTCTCACTGTGCTGCTTTGTGCCCGCTGCCTGTTCTTGAGAGTTTAATAACTCACTGCACCACTGGTTAAATAATGACATTGTTTAATCTCTGCAGCTCTCAGAGAGACAGAAACACGCTGCCAAAGAAAGGTTTATGGTAAGTTGACACACACACACACACACACACACAGACACACACACACACACACACACACANACACACACACACACACACACACACACAGCTACAGGCTTCATACACACTTACTGTGATTGTCACTCACATAGATCCCATTGATAAGATCTGTTCTGAATGACAGACTGTGTTAATCCTGCCTGCAGGGTCCATACCCATCAGCCCCTTTGCTTGTATTCCAAAATCTGGTCTTAATTCCCCAAATATTTTATCTAACTTATGTTGTACTGGCAACATTTTGTGAGTCTTTCCACTCAGATATTGGCTCTGTATATGTAATGAGTAAAGTATGTGCAGTGCAGTACCATGTAAATGCCTAACTGTAGTTGGGGCAGAGCATCAATTTGGTATCAGTGTTTATCTTTTTTCTGTGTAATAATATTTTCCCTGAGATATCAGGGTTCACTGTAGAGCTTCAGCTACTTTGTTTTTTTTATTTTCAGTAAATGTGCAATTTTCTCAATCAGAATAAATGATTCTAAGAAAATATTGATAATCATCAAAGTTCATGCTTAAAAACTCAAATAAATTCACTTTACTATCATAAAAATGACAAACAAGATACAAACAGTAAAGGTTTCCATTATAAATGCCAGAATCACCAAATGTTTGTCATTTGGCTTGAAAATTCACTGTGAAAGATTTAACACATGTTAATAAAGGTTTAGGATGAACTATTGTTGCAGTTGTAGCTCACGTCCAAATGTATAAAAAGGTTGTTTTTTTTTAATGTATAAAACCTTTCCAGGTGCACAAAAATGAAAAATTAATTGTAAATGTTTGAAGGATTTTTCAGTCTCTGTATTACATTTACCACAACATCACTGATCTTTCCTCTGAATGTGTGGTTTCAGCGGTGGCTCCCAGGTTGAGGAGGAAGGGAAGGAGAAAGGAGAGAGGAGACACTCTCATTCTATTCTCAGTATGACCGACTCGCTCACTCTTCCATTGATGTCTTCACCCACCTCCTTGCCCCGCACCTCTAAGACCAGTATGGGTGAGTATGTACACATGTACACACACTCCAAAGTACACTGAGTAGAACGATGCATTTTCTTTAACTTTATGCATAAGATCAGTAGAGCTGCGGTTATTCTTGATAGGTTTATCCTTCCGCACGCCAAGTGTGGCTCAGTGCAGTCTTCCCCTGTTGTCCCAAATATTTAGCAATGTGACTTTAAAAAAGGCAAAGACATAGAAGAAACAAACAGAACAGTTTTGGCACCAGCTCATTCCTCCCAGGAGCAGCTCTTTGGGCTTATGCACACTTATCAAACCAATCACATATCTTCCCTTTTTAATCTCCCTCCAGGCACCATCTGGGAATCTTTATGCTCCCTCATTAATGTCATTATTGACATTGGCAGACTCCAGCCTACTGCTCCATATATGTTGCTGGATGAGTTAAAAGGCGGGGCGAGTATGAACTAGTCATAACTCTTTTTCCTTCGACCCTCTGGTTTCTCATTAGTACCCAGCCCTGTGGGCGGACCTCCGAGGATGACTCGGTCCAACAGTATCCCAACACACGATGCCTCTCTGGAGCTGTACGCAGCATCTCCACTGGGCAGCACGCTGTCGCTGGCTGAGCGTCCACGCAGCATGGGAATGGTTCGCTCTGGATCCTTCAGAGACAAAGAGCCTGATGAAGGTGAGTCCGCTGAATTACTGTGATATTACTGTTACACAATGTTCTGTTTGGTGCCGTCAGTTTCTACTTCATCTTGTCGTTGGTTTATGTTGTTGCTCTGAATTTTTTCAGTTCATGGGTCTGTGCTCTCATTGGCATCCAACGCCTCCTCAAGCTACTCCTCGGTGAGTGTGGGCAACATGCAGAATCAGGTAGATACAGTTCTCTGTGTGTGTGTGTGTGCGTGCGTGTGTGTGTGCCGGCGTGTGTGCGTGTTAGTGTGTAAAGTGATGTTATCCTCTTGTTTCAAACTTTCACACAGTGCACGCTAGAGACAAGACTTTCTCCTTTGGTATGCTCTGCACCTTATTACACCTTTCCTCTTACTCTCTTCTTTCTCTCCTCCTCCCTATCCTCTCCCTCATCCTCTTCCTCTCCTCTCTTCCACTCCTCTCCTCATCTCCTCTCCACTCCTCTCCTCTCCCTGTGTCTTATCTAATATCTTGACTTTTATTCTCCCCCTGCTGCTTAAGGCTGAGGAAAGGATTCAGGGAGAGGTTAGTGTTTTCTTTCCTGCACTTTCTCCTTCTCCTTTGTCTCTAAATTTTCTTTCCTTTCATTCGTCGCCCTCATCCCTGTCATCTGTGAGAGAACAAGTCTGCCCCTCCTCTCATGAACGCCATCTACCCAAGTCGATCAACTAATGCCAGATTTTCTCAGTTTTAATAAAGTTTGTTATTTTATAATTAAACATTCTCTATTTTTCTCACAGCAAATCCGCAAGCTGAGGAGAGAGCTGGAATCATCACAGGAGAAGGTGTCGAACTTGACCACACAGCTGACAGCAAACGTACGTTTTCTGTTAACATCATTCAATAACACGACAGTGCTCACTTGCATTAACTGCCTTAATGTTTTGTTTTTTTAATATTTCTAACACAAATAACACATTTCATTCACAACTGCATTTTCACTCTAAAAGGCACATGGTCATTTTGCAAATGTCCCTTGCAGTTAAAAATAACTAATTTACCAGAAAAACAAGAATATCTGAAAACATTAAATTCAACGAGTGCTTAGAAATAGAAGAAAAACGATCTGATAAGGAAGTTATTTGAGTGACATCTTCATGTCGTTTTTTAAAGTACAAAATGTGACCTTTTACCCTGAGGTAACTGAAGAATTAGCAGTAGCCCCTCCCTCTAATTTTACACCCCAATACTTGTCATTCATCTTGATGAGCAGACTTCTTCTTTGACACTTGCCCCGAGGCTGAGGTAACTGACACTCATAGAGACACAATCGGTGTCGAACATGAGATAGCAGGCAAAGGAGGAGCAGTGTCAGGCTGCATTTAGCTTTGTGCTTCTTTGTTTCTTTCGTTGATTTTCTTCATTTTATTTTTTTCCATAAATAGAGGAAAGTTGAACTGCACTGTACATTAAACCTTTTTCAGCTTAGGTTAGAGTTTGTGAAAGAACATCAGTTCTTTGTATGCAAGTCAGTGGATTCAGAGCTCAATACTTTACCTTCCACAATCTTATACATTTGTGGTAACGTCTTTATTTAGTCTTCATAGAAAACGGTGAAGAGACACAGAGAGTAAGTATCCGAGCTGTGGTATGTCAGTTATAAATCATTTCTGCGGCGTCTCAGCACATTTCTTATCCGTGTAGGGCGTGAAGAAAGCTAACCTCCACCTGAACCTTTCCCCAAGCCTCTCTCTCCATCTCACTCACACACACACACACACACACTCACACACACACATATATACACACGCTGCATCGCCCTCTCTTTCTACTCTGCAAGGTTGTTTCTGAATGACCATCCTGTCAGCATTTTCATTGGTGCAAGTGCATGAATACATCAGAGGCATTATGCAGTGCACTCAATCAAGTGTGTGTGTCACTGGTTTGCTTGCATGCTTGTGTGTGTTCCTTTCTGTTGGATTTTTTCATTCTGTGTGACCTATTCTGTGACGTAAATGAATCAGCAAAACTGATATAACCATCACAGCATAACTGGATTAATGACCTTGCAATATTATTTTAATGTATTATTATATTCTACAAAGAGAAATGAGGGAGGAGGTGCATTTTCCATAGAAAGCACCCTGTTAAATCAAGGAATAAGAAAATGTAAAATTAGGTTGAATGTACATGAAGTTCTGGTTAGTCATAGTCTCCCTGCTCTTTCAAAAATGACTAACAATTAAAAGCATTAGTAGACTTATATATTTCTAATTTCCTGTTATTGACAATTAAATAGAAAAAAGACAAGTCTGCCTGTGATTTAGTCCTTAGCTCATGTTTTTTCTTTTTCCAAACAGGCAAATCTGGTGGCCGCCTTTGAGCAAAGTTTGACATTGATGACCACTCGGCTCCAGAGTCTGTCAGTGAGCCACGAGCAGAAGGTAACATCACCCATCAAGTCCACACTTCACTCCAAATACAAACCTGAATTCCAGCTGCATTCCATCGCTTTGCCAGTGTTATGAGCCGAGCACCAAGAGACGGCGACATTAGTTCACACATGGAGTGGGGTGACAATGTTCATAGTCTGCAGTGAGGAGCTAAATATGATATATATATTAGCAAAGGGCCCACTGCAGTTCCACATACAAAACTCATGTGAGACAGAAGGGGACAGAAGATCAATTAGGGATGGATAAGCTCAAAGTAAACTCAGTTTGCATGTGTACTCACAGCAAACAACATTCCTGCATTCCCTGGTCTTTTGTATCAGTTTTGGTGCGAATATACCCATCAGTACTTGAGGCGGTGCTCTGTGGTGTGAGTGTGTGCAACAAAGTGTGCAAGGGCTCCCTCTCCAAGCTTCATGCTTTGCTGCTCCCACTGAAAGCCCCGTCTAGACCACTCCAGAAAAAGTCTTTGTTGTTTGTGCCAGTGCACTGACCTGTGCAGCTCAGCCCGGAGCACAGGCTCTTTAACCTTGAGGAGATGGACCGGGTGGCTCCATTTATAGCAGCTTTAGAACACAATGGGCAGCACAGTGAGGATCTGCTGTTCTGAACTCTTTGTCCTTGTGAACTTCAAACATAATTTAAGAGATCAGGCCCAGCAGGTGGATGACCTCATAGTGTGGGTTTGATTTTTAGTGCTTGAGTAAAACATCAGGTAAAACCACTCCTTATTTTCAATATTTAAAAAACTTTTGATTTCAAAAATCATCATTGTAGTTATCAGTAGTAATAATACTACTACTAATAATATTTGTATTATTAGTAGGAGTAGTATTATCATTATTACTTGATTTGATTTATATTACACCTGTAAAAGCAGAGCTTACAAAGGGCTTTGACAGGCAAAGCAGACCCATGATTATCAGGGCCAATCACAAGGATCCGTTCACACTAATGTCAGCGGTAAAAAAAATAATATTTAAAAAAATGAAGGAAACATTACATTGCAAACAAACATTACATGTGGTAAACATTACATAAAGTCTGAAAGAAATGGGTTTTAAGAAGTAATTTAAACGAAGTCACTGAATCAGCCAGTCTTTGTGGGAGTTCTATTTGTAGTGAGACGTATTCATGGAATGTAAAACATTTTAAGGATTTTGAATATTTATTTGAAGTAAAAAAGGTTTGAGTGAAAACAAATCTCAGTTGCACAGCTCTGATATTTGCAAACAGATGCAAACGGATCTGCCTGAACTGAACTGTGGCATTTATTAATTCGATGTCTGTGCAGGACACGGAGCTGGTGGAGCTGCGGGAGACAATCGAAGACTTGAAGACCAGGAATGAAGAGGCCCAGGCTGTTATTCATGTAGCTTTAAACAATCCAGATAACATGAAAGGTTTGGAGATTCACCAACTGATACTATTCACTCTCTCTATCTGCACATCTGTGCCTTTTTTTTGATGTAGTCTTTTTTTTTCCAGATGTGCAAATTCGACGTCAGAACTCATGTGAGAGCATCTCAAGTCTTAACAGCCTGACCAGTTTGTCGAGTGTCGGTAGCTTGAAGGACCAAGACGCCAAGAAGAAGAAGAAAAAGAGCTGGGTAAGAATGACTGCACTCTGCTGGCGAGATAATATCCTGGTGTTTGTCTACGTTCAATCTGTTTCACTTCATAATAATGATAAAAAGTAGCGTGGAAATTAAAGTGTGACCTGTCCTCTTTATTGTAAATAAATACACTCAACCATTGAATATAGTTCAGTAGTCTGTACATCTGCTCCTCTGTCTCCATGTAGCTGAGAAGCTCCTTCAACAAGGCATTCAGCATCAAGAAAGGCTCCAAAACCTACTCAGACATCGAGGAAATCGCCACCCCCGACTCCTCGGCTCCAAATTCCCCAAAGATGCTTCATGAGGGGGGAGAGGGGGGAGAAGGAGGAGAGGGAGGGGAGCTTCACCCCTCAGCCCTCAAAACCTCCACCTCTGCCACCTCCTCTGTGTAAGTACCAATAAACACTGTACTCCAGCCCCTAGCTCAGCAGGGAGAGAGACACTTTTAACTTTTGTCTGACTAATATGTGCATCCTAACCCCTCCAGGATCATGGAGACAACAGAAGAGGGGGACAATGAGGAAGCAGCAGTGTCAGATCTACGCTCAGAACTCTGGGTGAAAGAGAGGGAACTGACGGACATCCGACTGGAGGCCTTAAACTCCGCTCATCAGCTGGAGCAGCTCAGAGATGCCATGAACAACATGCAGGTTTGTTTTGCTTGTATGTGCATGTCTACTAAAGTATATCCTGAAAATATTTGTTGGAGAGATATTGCATTTATGTGTCAATAATTTACATTTCTTCCCTGCTCACGTTCTAGTCAACCGTAGAGAACCTGAAGGCAGAGAACGACCATTTGAAAACAGGTGAGGTCGCAGGCTCTGGCCCCACCTCCTCCACCTCCCAGCCCTCAGGCCTGGCCTCTCTTCTGGGACCCTCACTGAGGCAGCCAATGAGCATGCCCCTCACCAAGTCCTTCAGCCTCAGTCTGAATGATTGTAAAGATCCAGGTAAGAGTCAAACAATAAGCTCACACACACATTATAATAATAAGTTATATTGAATTCATCCCTTGTTTCCTCTTCTCTTTCAGACGTGTCTTCAGTTGACATGTTGGGTGTTTCTTCCTCAAGGGATGAGGTGTGTGCACGAGTTCTGGTCGGCATTGGAGATCAAGCAGAGGTAAACACAACATAACGAGAATTTGTCATGTTCCTTTGGATATAATTCTAGAAATATTAAATATTATTTTTTTGACAAATGACAAAATAGTGAAATAAATATATTATATAAATATATTATAATTAATTAAGCATTGAAAAATTAACAAAATAGTCAGAAAAGAAATAAATGATTTACCGTTTCTCTCCCTCTCTGTGTCTCTGTAGGTCAGTAAACAGCAGCAGGAGCATTACTTGGGATCAGTGCTGGTCAGTGCGAGGACGGACTGGACTTGTCTCGATTCTCTTATCGCCAAGATCTTTAAAGTAAGTCAATAATTGTCTCTGTGAGGATATCAGTGTAAAAATAGATCCAAATGAACACATTTTAACTGTGGTGATTTTCATTATTTTCCCCTTCTGTTCAGGACTACCTAACTCAAGTGGACCCAACAGCCAGTCTGGGTCTGGCCTGTGATTCACTGCACACGTACCAGCTGACCCAGGGAGTGCAGAGGGTGATCGGTGGGGACAGACCTCAGGCCTCACCATATCGTTGTCTCAGCAGTGGTCAGGCTCGGATAATTGTCACCCTGAAAGGTTAGTGAATGTCCTCAACTGATAATAGAAAGGATACTTGTATTAGTACTTTGTCACTGTAGTACCAAACATGTTGATTGGGTTTCTTTACTCACTTATAAGCAACCTCTTGTTTCACTAAATATTAACTTTGAGACATTATAGCCGTTTTCAGACATGTCCTGGGGACTTCTGTGGTTTTACTTTCACATATGAACAAATCAGCGGGGGGGTTTCTGCTCAGATTTATGTGTTTACAACAGCAACAAATTTTGCTTAATGAACCATTGTATCCAGCTTTGTGCATGTAAAACCCAATTTTTGTCTTCTCTCCTTGTTTCTGTCTCTCTCTATAGGTCTTAGAGAAAAATGTGTTGACTCACTTGTGTTTGAGACCCTGATTCCTAAACCCATGATGCTGCACTACATCAGCTTGCTGCTGAAGCACCGGCGTCTGGTTCTGTCCGGGCCCAGTGGGACAGGGAAGACGTATCTAGCTCAGCATCTCGCCCACCACCTCCTGCAGCGCAGCCGGATCGAGTCTACTGATGCCGACCACGAGACCTGTCTCCTGGGTAGCAGCGCCGCCATCACCTTCAACATGCACCGTCAGACACAGAAGGTAACGCATGACTCTAGACTTCTCAAAGGCCATTAGTTTGAACTATACACAGAAGATATATTAACCTTTGTTTGTCGTCACAGGAGTTGCAGTTGTATCTGTCCAACCTAGCCAATCAGATTGACAGAGAGAGTGGAGGAGAGATGCCATTGGTTGTTATCATAGATGACATCAGTGATCCAGCAGCCATTACTGAGCTTGTTAACGGAGCGCTCACCTGCAAGTATCACAAATGGTGAGTCAATTCAAACATTATATTCCACTAAAGTTTGAATGTAACATTTGGTTCATGAAAGCACATAATCTCCTCTGTTGATGTTTCAGTCCGTACATCATCGGAACAACCAATCAGCCAGTGAGGATGTCGTCCAACCACGGGCTGCACCTCAGCTTCAGGTGGGCACAGAGCCGCAAAAACCTTACAGACTTTGAAACACCATTAAATACAAAACAAAGCAAACAGGAATGAACATTTCTTGCATGTGGTCACAGGATGGTGATGTTCTCCAACAACGTGGAACCAGCGAACGGGTTCCTGGTGAGGTACCTGCACCGTAAAGCTGTGGAGGCCTACCAAGAGAAGGAGCAGGACTCAACACGCCACCAAGCTCTCCTCCACGTTCTCGACTGGGTCCCTCAGCTCTGGTATCACCTCCACACGTTTCTGGAGAAACACAGCACTTCAGACTTCCTCATAGGTGAGAGACAGTGGACACAGTTAAGGTAGAAAACAGTGGGGATAGTTGGGTCTGTACCTATGATGAATGACTCAGAAACGCAGTTAAAGGGAAGTTTTGCCTCCTGCAGGTCCCTGCTTCTTCCTATCGTGCCCAGTGTCAGTGGCTGAGTTCAGGCAGTGGTTTATTGATCTGTGGAATCACTCCATCATTCCATACCTGCAAGAGGGAGCCAAAGATGGAATCAAGGTGAGCACAGACATCTTCCAAAGTTTTAACAACAAGAATCAAACTCCTCCGCTCTTCACATGTTTTAATTACATTTCTATCTGTTCCCTCAGGTCCATGGGCAGAAGTCGGCATGGGAGGATCCAGTGGAGTGGGTGAGAGGCACCCTCCCGTGGCCCAGTGCACAGCAAGACCAGTCCAGACTCTTTCACCTACCTCCCCCCAGCATAGGTGCTCTCAGTGAGGAGAAGAAGCTGCCCAAAGAAACACCTCCGCCCAGCACGCTGGAGTCCGACCCACTGGTGAGTTTATCGTGAGATGGGCGACTAATGAAGGACAATTTATAATATAACAACAGGTTTTATAGGTGCCAAACAGTCAACAGTGAGTTCCTATTTACTAATGACTGCAGAGGTTGTTACAAAGAAAAGCACCACAACTGAAAAGTGTGTGTGTCCGGACTCGACTCGTGCAGCCTGCATTTGGTTTTCCTGTTTAGAGGTAGAGCTACAGGAAGAGGGAAGTGAAATTCTGAGGTTGACGACTGCAGCAGAGACAGAAATACTGTGTGTCACGTGTAAAATCTGCAGCATGGTTTCATCAGACACTCAGAAGGGACTGTATATGAAGACGGTATGAAGTAAACAAACCGAACCAGAACTGAACACTGCCTGTTTTTTTATTTGAATCCACTCCAAAAGTTAATGGATTCCTCCTCAGCTCATTGCTCACCCTTCACCAAGTTTAAAGACATTCAGAACAGTTGTTTTGCTGCTGACAGACAAACAACAGTCAGTGTTCCTGTCCCAAACATGGCACACCTCAGAGAAAGAAGACAGTCTAGAAAGATGCTTTGCATCTCAACCAGCAGGGGGTTATTTTCTGACATATTTAGTCATAATAAAAACATTTGACAGATCATTGGATAAAATGAATCACCAGTTTGCCATAATAAGTGCACACCAGTGCATTCAAATCTAACGGTGTCTGTTAACGTCTCACTCACTGCCACTGTGCGTCCTGCAGATGGCGATGCTGCTGAAGCTGCAGGAGTCGGCCAACTACATCGAGTCTCCAGAGCGGGAAGGCATTCTGGATCCTACTCTGCAGGCTACACTCTGAGGACAACACACGAATGTCAATCAAGCTGTGTGGAGCCACGGACTCTTTATCCTTACGGCTGACACAGCGAGTGCAGTCCTGATGAGACTTTAAAGACTCAATCATGAACTCTACTGTGTGCTCAGTGAGCAGTTACAAAGCTATGTGTAAAGGATCGACGGAGAGAGTGATTATGGACGAAGGGTTTGCTCTGCCCTGCTATCACAACATTGGAAAGACAATTAACCTGCTCTCATAGGAAGCTGTGATGATGATCATGTCAGGGTAAAAAGATTATTGATTATTCTCTTCTCTGCCCCAGTTTGTCCCAGATTCACTGCTTTTGGATCTGTAAGTGCATGGTAACCGGAATAGTATAATTATGTATAATCCTCCTTATCAAGACCTATTTCTTTTTGGTTTGACCTCACCACCTTAACTTCAACTATGTTGGTGCTCACGTACTTCGTTTTCAGAAAGAAAATTTCAACTCAGAAGTAAAACGGTCTGATTTCCTCAAATGCAGGATCGTCATTTGACAACAGCAAAAATAATTAAAAAATGCACTTTATTTTCTACATGTGGAATTTGAAATCAAGGAGGCTGTGTCATTGATTGTGCATGAAATGGAGGACTATCAGTTCGGACAAATCATGCAGTTCAGTAAAGGTTCCTCTAGATGGCAGCATCTACTACTTTCTGCCTCAGTGCCATCCTGGTATTCAATCTTCTCAAAGGTGCTTGGTAGAAAATAACACACACACACACACACACATTCAATAACCATAGAAATGGCCTTGAATGATGGTTTTTCTTTTGAGTTCAGCCATTTTGTTATTCATAGATCAAATATCAGCCCAGAGAAACTGTAAGAGAGACATGCATGGGTGAATAATGAATTGAAAATCAGTTTTAGGGCGGGTCTGTGCAGAAAAAAACATCGTCATATCCAGTGGTTTACTTCAGTAATGTGTTAAAGATATTGTAAACACACAGAAAAAAAATACAAAATCTGTTTGTTTATCTAATCTGCCAAATCTGTTAGCCTCCCATGTCCGGCTATGCTTGCTTCTCTTCTCTACTTCTCTATCTGATTCAAAACACAAACTTCTCTTGTGATAGTTGAGGATCTACGACTTTTAAAATCTTGATTTTGTAGGATTTTATACTTCAGTGAACATGATTATTACCGAGTACGTAAACCACACATGCCATTATCGACAACAGCCGACAGGGTAGACAGGGATGAACTCCTGTCGTCACTGTTCCGATCATTTCTCATTTGTTCTCCCAACAGCTGCCAACGAGTGATAAAGACATGTACAAAAAAAAAAATTCTTCCTCACTGCATTTGCTCTTTATATATTGTATAATGTTTTTTCAAACTGTATCAATCAGTTTCTTTCTCATACAGTTTTTAAGATTTACTGTCAAGGGCTGGGGTTAGGAATGCTTCAATCTCATTGGTGGCTTTCTCTCACCTCTTCCCTTTTTTCATTTGCACACGATATTTGTTAGAGAGTACCAGAGTGCAGAGTATTTATTTCTCGCTTCTTGACTGTTCTTGCAATGAAGGAAGATGGCATATAAAGATGCGTAAAAGGAGGAAACTGTAGAGAAACACTTAAACCCCCCCCTTGACCCTGAAGTACCTCAAACTGCCATATTTTGTCCCCGATGTCCCTCTACTCTCCAAACAGCGGAGTGGGAAGTAGAGACACGATGCCTAGTCTATCTGTGCCTGAAACACAGTTTGGCCTAAAGCTGCTTTAACCTACCACGCGGAGGCCTCAACTCAGAGGCAGCGTCCTCACTTCCTCTTGCCTACTCTGATGTCACTTTAATGTCGTCACCTTAAGAGTGGGTTAGCGAATTGGGTCTTTGGCTGTTGTGTCAGTAAACTGCATTAGATGAGATTGTGTGTCATGACAGGGCTGCTTGTGTGCGATTGTACACCTTTTGAAACTGACAGTGTGAAAGATATGGACATCTTTGAGGAGTGGCCCAGAGAACACGAGACGGTGAATGGATCTTATCCTGGAGATGTAACGTCGATGCATGTGTCCCTGATGTGTTCCCAAAGTTCTCTTTCATTGGACCTACCACACTTAACCTTATCACGGGAGGGGATTTTTTAATAACTGGATATGTTCCTTGTTTTTGTTGTTTCGCATTGTTTTTAAGAGCAGACGTTTGTTTTTATTATGCAAATATTTGTAAATTTTTCTTCCTCTTTTTGTACATGACATCACTATTGTACACACTGTATATAGTCATAGCATCTGCGACAACAATCACTAAAAAAAGATTTAGAGATGTGAGAGAAGGCATGGCTCCTGTATGCAGAACAATGGACGTCCTCTGTGGTTTTTAATGTCTTCCTCCAGCAGGAAGGAGCACTTGGCTTGATAGGGGACTTTATAGTGGTTGTCTGGCATGTTTATAACCACATCAACTTCCATATGTCTAACATTGAGCTGTGGACACAATAAAGTCATGCCATTCTTCATCACTGCCTGTTTTGGTTGTGTGCTATCATTAAGTCATCCACTGGAGGGCGACGATACCAGTGTTAAATACCACTGTTTATTATCAGGCTGTAGGGAGATTTTTAAAGGTATGTGGTCTTCAGAAAATTATTATGATTCATGTATTATCATTGTTATTATTATTATTATTAATAATAATAATGATATTAATTTATTGTTGTTGTTATTATTATTATTATTATTATTATTGGGAGCCAGGGGTTTTCCTGTCTGGAGTCATGGGTCCAAACAGAGATGATGATGTGACTGAGGTGGGGAGGGGGCCATCAAAGTAAGGGAATGGGTGGAGTTGTGTGGAAGCCCACCACCAACCCTCTCACCACATATATATTCCCTAAGACCCCCCGCTACCCTTCATTCAGAGTAGTGGCCATCAGTCAGCGCGATGCCAGGCAAACCTGCGCCCATCAAGAAGTCTCCGGCCAAGAAGGCCGCCGACAAGGCACCTGAGCCGGCCCCGGAGCCTGAACCCGCCCCGGTAGAAGCTCCACCCGCGGAACCGGCTGCTGCTCCAACGGAGGCCGCTGCTCCAGCCCCTCCTGCGGTGGAAGAGGCAGCACCGCCCGCAGCCCCAGCTGAAGCAACCCCCGCCGCGGAGGAAAGCGTCCCAGGTGCCGTACCATGGATGAAAAGTCCCCTTAGTTAACTAACTAACTTTAAACCAACAAGGAGCCTAAAAGTGAAGTCAGGACTTTATTAGACTTTTTAAGGGCAGTTCACTTTACATGGAGATCATAATAATATCTGCGAAACTTTGTGGTGCTCTGCATTGTGTGATACAGACCAGTGTTTGTATTATTTCATCCATATAACAGCAACACTGCTCCGTACAATGCAACACAGTTCAATACCACAACCTCCAAAATGATCTTAACTGAAACATTTTCAATAAAAACTGGACACTGTGACCTTTATGGAGGAAGGACTTCATGAGTTAAATCTCAGGGTACTAAACTGACAACCGAGTGTATATGTGCATCCTCATCTCTACTCTTCTTTATTTGCATGCATCTTGATCCTGTGCACACAACTGCTCATATTATGCAATTTCCTTTTAACTGTTAAATATCCATTAGAAGACCAGAGTGTAGATGTAAAACCCTAGCTATCGAAATATTCCGTTTTTGCATTATGTTTTTATGTTGTGTATAACTATGCTGCATGCACAGTAACCAACTCAGTTTCACTGGAAACTAAGACTGGCAGCTCATCGTTGTTCTTACGCACTGCAACAAATCTCTAGTTCTTGCTCCTGTCATCAGTCTCTGCACATGCAGCCCAGGAGACAGCAGCCACAACTGTTGAAACAGGAGCTGCTGCAGCAGCTGTAACTTCATCCTTCTTAAGATCAACTCCTCACAATGTGGAGATTCTCCATGCTAAGACATGACCTTAAAACAGTGCATACATTAATATTCTCACTTTACTACACTATTCTCACATCTTACACTTGATGTCTTACATCAAGTAAAAGTTTGATACCAACACAGAGCTGCAACTCATGCACCATGATGCTGGTAAAGTACATAAGTGGCGCCTGCAGCAGAATGACTGGCTCAGCGTTTCCCATGCTAACCTTGACATGTTACCCGCTAACTTCATCACACAGCCACAAAGGGAGGAGCTGATCCGACAGCTTCCGCTGAGGGTAAACACAAACCACAGGGGGCACACCAACAGGCTGTAATGCAGGGTGTGTGTTTGTGTTTGGTTGTTTCCTACTGTGCACTTGTACATGCTGTGCAGAGCTGTGTGTCTATTTAACCCATGGTGTGGACAGTGATCCTCTGCTGGATGTAGATGCCTTACAGTGCATCTACAATGTTTTCAGGAATCAGTTTTTGGCTCATAAATCCACCTGTTCTGTAAAAACAGAAATGTTTGTCCTGCATGAGTCATGCTATAATGGAAACTCTTAATTTGCTTCCCTAATGGCTTTTTAACGCTAGCTGCTGCTCCTGCTGCTGAAGACGCTGACTCTGCTCCTGCTGCAGATGCTCCTGCTGCAGATGCTCCCACAGACGGTAAAACATAAACTACCACACAGACAACAAAAGCACTACCCTGCCATTAAACACGCTGCACACACTGGTAATGATAAATCATGCCCCTCCCCAGCTGTGAGGACCACAGGACTCTTAACAAATGCTGAGCTTCCTGGTAACTTTTCCAGTGGAAACTCCACAGTGATTGGCCCGCTGTAGCACATCCACATTTGAAATGTTGGAACATTACAGCTTGAAGTCTCACGATGGAAAAGATGCTCTGGAAGCTCATTTGGTCCTCATCGCTGGTGATTGTTTGTAAAAGAGCATTAACCTCCTGCTTCTTTAATACTAGCTGCTCCAGCAGAAGCTGCTGTTGTTGAGGAGCCACCCAAGGCCCCCACGCCGCCACCTCCTGCAGGTAATGACAGCATTTATGCTCTGCTGTTGGCTTGGTCCCAGGTTGAACTAGAGAGATGTCGTTACATGATAAAAATGAAACATCTGTTCCGGTATCAGAAATGACAGCCATCTGACATGTTTGGAAACCTCTATTTCCAGTTGATAGATCAATTGAATAAAAACTAATGAGAGTTTTTAAAGAACGAAACACCCTGGATGACAGAATAGATGCTTTCTTCATTATCAGTTGATAATTAAACAGTTTTGTTTATAAAATGTCAGAAAATTTTGAAAAATATCCAGTTTATTTCACCATTCACATGAAAACTGGGAGTAGCCAATGTTTGACATTTTTGTTTTGAAATGGACTGAAGGTCTTACGGCGTTGGACAAACTCAATAGACAAGGGGGTTGTGTAAAATTTGAGATATGCATGTTATATATTACACAGACATTTTTTAAATGAAGAAGTATGTGGGTAGTTATTCTTTCAGGGTCTTTTCTGCTCATCTCTCTGATCTCCACTTCCACCATGAATCTGTCTGCTCTGTCTGATCCTCCTTTAGTCCCCACCAGCGCTCCTCTGGACGTGTCTGTGGACGATGTAAACGACTCCAGCCTCACCATCCAATGGAGGACGCCAGAGACTGTTGGAGACTCCGGCCTGGACGGATACACCATCGAGTATTGCAAGGATGGAAGTGAGTCGTGTGAGAGGCTGTGGGGCCGCACCTGTCCCCAGAGTGTCAGAGGGCAGAGAGCCGGGTCCAGGCCGTATACGGCCGGCAGCATTTCACCGGCTGTCACTGTATCTCCTGACACCACTTTTAGAAGTGTACGTTCAGATGACGGCATGCCCTCTTAGATTTCATCTTGGTGACCAAAGGGTACTTCTTAAGGGCAGGTTGTTTGTAAACTTGTGTCGACAGGTGATAAACCACTTAACATGCCCCATTAAGGGATGTTTTACACTTTGATAAATGAAAAACACTTTACATGAGATAAAATTCAAACGTTGCATAACCAAAGCCAAAACTGTACTAAACTCTACATACTAATACCAACCCTGGGTTTTCCTGCAGCAACAAACTGGGTTGTAGGTAACGAGGAACTGACCCCTGCAAACCGCTTCTGCATCAAGAATCTGACAGCCGGTGACCTGCTGCTTGTTCGCGTGGTGGCTGTAAACGCTGGCGGTCGCAGTGAACCTGGTGTACTTGCTGCGCCCGTGCCAATCCGTGAGGTTGTTGGTAAGTGGAAACCATTTGGTACACTGAGAATTTCTATGGACTATACAGACTTTATGAGCTATGGATGGTCTTTATAAACATGTTTAAAAGGGGGAAAGATATATCTCCAAAAAATAATTTATTGTATGTTTCTACAAGATCCTGTTTCCCTTCAAAAGAAACAGCCTAAAATAGAGGATTTCTGTGGTGTGAAAACAATTTAAAATGTCTGGCTCAAACCCTCCATCAGGATCTCTGTGATGGTTGTAACTTATGACCTTTCCTTAAAATACTTGTGTTGCAACCAGGGAGGCAGAGGTGGTAATAACCGCTGAGGCCCCAGATGGACTCCACAGATGTAGGCACATAAATCCCACTGGTGCTGACAAGCACTGTCATTAACTATTAATCATCCTTTCACTCGTGTGTACATAGATCTTCAACATCTACTAGAGGTGTGGCTCCACTAATGAGGAGGTCAAGCTCCCACACTCACTCCACTCACATGTTTCTTTGATTAAATCGACAGCCACAGTTTACAGACTGGTTTGTTAAAGAGATAACACGACTTGTAAATAATAAAACATTTTATTTATTTAGCAGGTATCAAAATAAACATTTAAAATGTTCTTTACAAAACTCTAACATTAATTAAAGTAGCCATTTTGACCTTCCCCTAATGTAAGCTATTGTATTTCATAATTTAACTTTAACATGGATAGAAAATTAGCTCCTACTGCATTTTTGTATTTTAAAAAACACAACTTCAATAAACACACATACAGTAGAAGGTCATTGTGTCTCATCTCTCTACTACTGTCTATAAAAATACACATGCGCTTCAACAGTTTACTGAAGTCACAGTGTGGACCTGCAGTTCTGAGTTTCAGCTCTCACACTGGGTCACATTGACGTAGCGCAGACCTGAGCTCACCCAGTTATCAGAAGCACAGCTTATGGCTTCTGAGCGTATATCCTGGTCTTACAAACAGGAAATCCAACAGGAGAAATGTGGTCATGAAATTAGAACTGCTGGTCAACTGAGGGGAGTGAAACATGAGCCTAATTGATGCATTCTGGGTGACTTGTTGGGAGGTAAATCCTGCTGGGTGTCAGTCACACGCTGTCCAGACCAGACACCCGTCTGCACTCCTGATAAAGATGCTGTCCAGAATATGCAGAAAGCCCCCCCCACAAAGACACTTTATCCAGAGACAAAGACGGATTATAGACTGCTTGCAGGAGGACTTCCTGGCCACTGGATGCTGTAATGCCTGCAACACTTCTGGGCATTGCTGAGAAGTGTACTGATTAGTGGGGATTAGTGTTTGAGCCAAATCTGGAGGCAGA